AGATGTGTCAAAATTAATTTATTTTATAGTATCATAATATATATATAACCTCACTTTGACTCCCCCCACAAAAGCCCACACCAAAAACCTGAAATAAACAAACAGAAATAAGAAGCCTAAACCGAAAAAAATAATAGTAATGAAATAAAACTACAAATTAATTTTATTTTAATTACTTCAACAGAATTCAACACAGACCAAAAAAATTATCTTTTTCATCAAAAAGCATTAGGGAAGATTTTTTTTTTTTTTTAAAACAAGACTTTATAAGTGACATTTTCATCTTCAATAAATATCTCTAAAGGAACAGATCTAATGAGATGGTACCATTTTAGAATAGAGTTTGCAAAGCACTGAACTAACTTTTTAAAATAAGATGTTCATAATTATTCACTACCAGCAATTACTCCTTTAACATACCTAGTTATAATATGCACCTGATATGCCAAAGCAATTAATACACTAATCTTTTAAGAGGGTCAGTATAAATAAGTAAATATATACAATCTTTAAAGATGCAGATTGGTAGATGTCACATTTCAGTCCTATCATCAAGTTGCTAATTTCCCTAAAGCACTGGCGCATACATCCTAAAATACCTAATACGTGTAATTGCTCCATATATACCATTAAAGTATTATACCTTATTATCCCTATCACAACATAATCAGCATGTAAAATCACAGATTCTCTTCTGATAACTCTGGTTCTCTTGAGACCACTACATCAGTGTAGTTATTTCCTCCTGCACGCAATTAAAATTCTACTATAGAACGGAGTATGAGATATTTAAATGGAAATTGTCAATACTGGAAACCTAAACTTCCTATTTTGAAGCTCAAATGCAGATTTTGGAATCTAAATTTTGAGAACACTGCACTATTTTCTACTGTTTGATCGAGCATGCATCTATGATTTCATTACTAAATTACTATTCATGCACGAAAACATTGTTTATGACGATACTTAGATCAAATTATACATTAGTAAACATTAATATTTTCCTTTCAGTATGTTAAAATACTTGTCATACCCCTTTAACATGCTGTTTAAGAAATATTCCTTCAAGATCTGAAATCTGCTATTATATCAATTTGGAATTTATTACTCCAAATAAATCTGTGGAAAGTGAAGAAAATAAGCCATCTCTTTTACTTTTTCTCAAAGCAACAAACTGAGAACTTGTACAAACTGAGGGTGCAGTACCTAATTATAAATCTAAGTGCAGCTCACCCATTCATGAACAGAATACAGACTGCAGAGCTAGACAGTGAGATCTGACTGAATTTTTTCATGGAGTTTGAAAAACAATTATAAATACCTTTGTTATTATTACATGAAGAGCAACATATAGGAAATTAGTTGATTCATTAACCTGGCTGTATCCCCTACTAAGTTAGGACGGGTAAACTAGTTTGCAACTGATAAATGCTGGCATTGATTCACTGTATACAGACTAAAAAATGACTGCTGAAGTTTACAATTTAACCTAATAACATTAAATAAATCTCTAGGTTGAGCTTTGAAAGGCCAGTTAGATCATACACAAATCAAGCAGTGCTTCGGAGATCACTGCTGCAACTCTGCCCTTTGTATTCAAAATGCTAAATCAGTCTTCAGCAGTTTATAAGAAGACAAAATATTTCTTTCCCCCTAACTTGGACAACAAGAGAGCTGTTCTGATTAGAGCTTTCTGGAACACGTCAGATGAAAAGAAGATTTTTATTAAAAAACATTAACTTGTGGTATCTGGAAAAATGTGCATCATAGGCCAAAGTTATGACAGATGATTGCCTACCCGTAAACCCAGCCTCTCTAGATGCCAGGAAGGGTTCCCTCTGAGCCTGGGTGAGCCAGAGAGCATCAGCTTTCAGGTTCCTGCTTTGAATTATGCCTAGACCCAAAGACATGTTTACACTGTGGGTTAGACCTGTTCCAAATCCAGCTTTGCCTGTCTTCATACTATTTCTGGGCAAGGATGCCCAAGCCCTGCGGTTCGCTTGCAAAGTTGCCTACAAACTTCTCGGTTCCTAACAGCCCAGATGCTTATGCACGTGAATTAGAAAGCTTGGGCCTGAGCAGGGTCACCACTAGATCTTCCACACTCAGTCCTTCATCAGCAAGAACAGATGCTTTGAGCCTGAGGCACAGCCAAGCCAACTTGCCCGCAGTTTTCATGGAAGCCTGTCAAGCTGTAGGGCAACCTGAACTTCCAAACCACCAAGCACGGACTTTGAGTTTCTGGGATGGATGGGAGGAATCTGCCCCAAGGTCACAGGCCTTGGGAACCAGGGAGACCCTGCTAATAATGGTGATGCTCAGAAGAAAGACAAACTGTGGCTCCAGGAGGACATGTTCCTTCAAAAACACCATGTGTCTGCAACATTTAAAAAAACTCAAAATTTCTGATGAACTGAAAGCCTCAGACTGTGGCCAGGTCTAACCCTTATGTGCTGCTTCCCACAAAGTACAGGCTCTCTTATGCCCTTTTCCTGTGTACTTCTCTGAAGACTTCTCCATGGCAATGCACAAGCACAAACCTACTCCCTTGCACCACTGAACATGCTCTTCTCTCCCTTGGATCTGCCATGATCTTTCAGATTGGAGCTCATGTTCCTCAGAAATAAGGACTTAGAGTTCATGTGGTGACATGGACGTGTTGGACTGAGTCCAGAGGAGAGCCATGAAGATGATCAGAGGGCTGGAGCACCTCTCCTGTGAAGACAGCCTGAGAGAGTTGGGGTTGTTCAGCCTGGAGAAGAGAAGGCTCCGGGAAGACCTTAAAGCAGCCTTCCAGTACTTAAAGGGGACCTACCGGAAAGATGGGGAGGGACACTTTTCCAGGGAGTGCAGCAACAGTATGAGGGGTAACAGTTTTAATCGGAAGGAGGGAAGCTTTAGATTAGATATTAGGAAGATATTCTTTACTCCGAGGGTAGTGAGACACTGGAACAGATTGCCCAGAGAAGTTGTGGATGCCTCATCAGTGGAAGTGTTCAAGGCCAGGCTGGATGGGGCTTTGAGCAACCTGGTCTAGTGGGAGGTGTCCCTGCCCATGTCAGGGGGGGTGGAACTAGATGATCTTTAAGGTTGCTTCCAACCCAAACCATTCTATGATTCTGTGTACAAGGACATGAACACAACTGCTCGCTCCTAAGTGCCTCTATGTATGAAGATGACAGACTAGGGCATAGACACGGACGATTACACTTGAGTTTGGAGACACAAGGTAAACTGGCTTGTTAGGGGGGAAATGCAAAGAACCAAGCTCATCCAGTGAGCTCCTCTGCTTCCGTGAATACCACCTGGATCAGTATTTTTTTCATACACAGCTCCAAAGTTGTTCAGTGAATAAATTGCCATGCTGTACTGTTAAGGCTGTAACATGCCAATTAGCAGAAGATAATCTACTATGCCTAAGATGCAGTTGATTAACTTCCATTAAAGTCAGTGATGCTGACAATCATGTATGAAGAAGTAGGTATAAGTCTACCAAGTATCTGGTTATGCACAGCAAGTGAAAACACACTGAATTTTATTGAATATGCTGGTAAGATACAGTAGTACTTTCTCTTTCTGCTCTGGATAAAATGAAATATAACCAGAAATCAGAAACAGATTTGGAAAATGACTAGCATTGTTATACTTTTCTACAAATCTGAAAAATCAGTCTTACACATGCAACTCACTAATGGTGTTTCTTATATCCAAAACATTAACATCTTTACATAAAGCCACCTTAATGAAAGAAAACACTATAAAATTTAAATAAATAATCTATTTTATTGTAAGTATAAAAAATAAATACTCTACTAAGGAATGGAAGAAAAAATAAAGCACATTTTAAATAATTTCATTACATTCTAAGATGCCAAATCATCTGTGAGTGGTTTCATTTTAGATGAAAAGAAATCAAAATATAGGACAGATGTTGGACAAACCACATTTGAGGTCTATCACACACTGGCATTTTTCAAATGATTTTGGCTCATCTATTAAATAAGGTGTATTTTGCTTGATTTTGAAAAGGGAAACATCAGGAAATATTTAAAGGCCAATTGCTGCCAATTAACTTTGATCAGCAAAAGTTGCATTTGAATCTTTTAGATTCTTTTGCCTGTCTGGAATAACACACTATTCTAAAATCTAGCAAAACAACAACTTGATGATTAATGTGTGTTGGCAGCCCCACCACAAGCTTGCTTAACAGTTGGATTTTAAATAAACAGCTGTCTTCATTATGATGGGAAAGAAATCTGACTGTTTTCATGTTTTCATGCTATTAAAATATGATCAGAAATGGCTTTTTTCCCTTTTCAGATGAAACAGCCAGGCACTATGGTGACAGTCTCTTTCAGCAGTTCGGATAGTTTTAGAACGATCTCACAAGCGTCGCCAAACCATAGTCTACGTAGGCTGAAAAAGCTCTCGGCATGCCCACACCAGCTCCTCGCCGCACGCCGCAGGGGAGTGGCAGAGAAACCCTCGCGCGTAACAAATTGTACCTGCCGCCGGGGAAGGCAGAGAACCCCCAGTAACACGCCACTGAGACGGACAGCGTATACAACATTAATGATTTCCCTCGGGTTTAAGGTAATACTTGCCCACAGTGGGATGTAAGTGAGAAATCTGTACCCAGCCACTAACTGTTTATAGAAGCTGAAGTTTAATATTTAATGGCCTGTGCAGACTACTGAATTCTAATGTTTATAGACGCTTTTGGTGTACACACTTCTAAAACTTGTCTGCTGCGGTCATAAATACTAAGACCTGTGAGGACAAAACCCTACCATTTAAACTATTGTAACCTTTGAATGCCAGTGCAGACATTCAGTGTAGATATTATTATATATCCTAATGACTAAATTATGCAGATATTTTCTAACCGTTTCCATATCAAAACTGTGAAACCAAGAATAATAGTCAAACCATGTAATAACACGTAAAAGGAGACAAATATTAAATCACCTCTATGCGTTTTTTGAAGAATGAACACTTACTTCTAAATCGTTAAAGAATAGATGCGTGTCTGCCAAATTGAAAATCATCTCTTCCATTCGGAGTCCAAGAGACACAGAGGTGGGTGGATCCTTAAAGAAGAAATTAAGTGAATATACCATCAATACCATGCCTAACATACATAACCAGACTAAAAACTGGAGGAAATGCTTTCAAGAGAGATTATTAGATGTATTGAATGCAACATCCGCTTGTTCAGTTTAACTTCAGCACCTCTCTAATCCTGTACTGTAACACTTACCAGTAACAGTCAAAAATATGACTTTATCTTGACTTTACTGTGATTCTGCAGCGGGACCTCTGTGGTCACCCTCGTGCATCCCTGGCATGGGCTCTCTGCCCTCCATGCAGAAAGGACAAATCCACTTCACCTAAAACTTCTCCAGATTTTACAACTGTTTACAAGTTTTATGATCAACCGGGGGCATAATAATGCTATCGTTACTCAAAATAAACTCTCGCTGGTCACAAGTGAAAGGATTCAGTCCTGGGAATACCTAGTGACTTTAAAGCAAATCACCATTAATGTTTTATTTGTAAATGGCAATTATATTTAAAACCACTCCTTGATTCTCCACAAAACCATGCTTTAATTACGCTTTCAGTTTGGCCCACCCGTGCAGAGTGAACAAATCTATTGTTTGTTATTAATACATAACACACTTTAACTTCTCTACAGAAATTACCATAACAACTTATTCCTTACTGAGCTAATAAACTCAAAAAGCATGTTCAGCATTGTGGTTACCAAATGCATTACAGATGTTTGTCTTGTTTTGATTTTTTTTGGTGTTTTATATATTTTCAATCTGAAAAAAAAAACCCCGAAAAGAAAGTCTAATACATACATTTGATATAGAGTTTCTCATTTATAATGCCAAGTATATCCAAGTGCACAGAAGCATGAGTTTGAAAGAACATGTTATATTATCTCATGACACCCTCTATTAACAATGTTAGTTTGTTAGGAATTATATTTTAAATAGAACTGCAGAAGTGACAACCCATATTTTACTTAAAGTAAGTTAATATTGCAAACCCGATGACAACTCAAAGTTAAAAACCCAGAGATGCAGTCCCTAGTTTCTTTTTCCACCTCTCAATCAAATTAATAGGTGTTTCAACATGATCTCTGAACTTTCAAACATTTTTCTGTAACTACTTGTTAAAAGGCAAGATATGTCAGTAGCAGAAAGTTGGAAAATAATGGTGATTTGGAAGCCCGTTCACCTTCTGGAAATGCCAAAACCCAAGTAAAACCAACCAGAAAAAGAATTTTGGAAAGAAGTATTTAGAAATAAAGCTACATAAAACAGACAAAACATCTATTCTTGAACTCACATACATTAACAGTAAATAAGTTTTCTAGTATGAAAAAAAAATAGCCCTTATAAATGAGAAAGAAAAATTGCACCATGCTATTTTGATGAACTTTGCCCCTAAAAATAAGCCTTATATTTAAACTGGCACCACCAAAAAAAAGAATATTTGGCTTCTTAATTCAAATGGAAAGACTTTAAAATATGAACAAAAGTATTCTGTCTCTCTGTTTTAATATTGCTCTCTTTTTGCAGACTTATGTCTATTTTACTTTTGTAGGCATGTGAGGTGGAAAGCAGGTGATAACTTCTCTCTAGCTCAGCCT